TATTCTGCCTCATTGACACAACGCCATCTAGTCCCAAACTAAGCAGAGCTTGTACTATGGGTACTAGTACAAACGAGACTTGATTTGACTATTGGCGGTAAAGTACGTGCCCTTTAACCAAGTCATAACAGAAAAAATAGGAAGTTTATTTTAGATACTACAAGAAGCTTTTACTGTATTTGCGATTTACACGTATTTTTATAAGTATCTATTGGTCTTCAGAATACATGTTACAAAGTAGCTCAAAATTACACACATTATGTAGAATCAAATTCTGTAATTACACATAGATGTGTGACGTCACGGCATCTGAAACGGGCAATGTTTTATCACCTCTATTCAATCTACCTAACTTAAATAGCATGAACTTAGAATCAGTCACAGCCCCTACTCTGTTCAACATCATTACTTCAGTCAAGCCCGTACCATTGCTTGCGGTGCCATGTTTTATTGATGAAAGATTTTTTTTTAAATTTTAATCCGTTAGGCTGTATGATGTGTGACATTTGCCGTGTATTTAATGTTATCTGTGCGTTATTATTTTTTAGTGTTGCGTTTTCTACCAATGGTAAGAATCTATTTTTAACTGATTTATTTCTATCAATTACGCGACACAGTTTTCTTTCTTTATTGATTTTACGTTTCCAGAAAATTTGTTTTGTTAAATGTTTAATAGGCATATCTTGTATTTTCTTCTTCTTCTTCTTTCTTCTTAAATAGACAACTGCCGCACTAGGAATAAATCCTGTGTCGCGGGGGACTTTACAAACATACATGAAACGGACACAAAATACACCTAGACTCAGAACAACAATTTGTTGATCACACAAAGTGTTGTCCCATGTGGGGTTTGAACCCACAACACTCGGCGCAACTATGCCACTATGCCATCCGTGCAGTTAATATTGTTTCTTTGTGAGTTTTATTCACACTCATCATCATCATCATCATCAGCGGCCTTCAATAGTCAACTGCTGGACATAGGCCTCTCCCTACAAAGGACGTTTTATTGTATTACATTAAGGTGTTCAATATATACATTTAGGTTGACAAGCCTTATGCTTTAATATTTATAAGCGTGGCTTGTTTATTGTGGTTCACGTGTCAGCACTTGCCCCCAAAACGCATCTAGCTGCAACGAAGTGTCAGATATGGCGATGTATATTCATCGAACTCTTCACTGCTGCACCTAAATATAGGCTTCTGAACTAATAAGGTGGATTAGTCCTACTTCTTTCAGCTCTCCAGCAGCTTTGATGCTTTAAAACTTTTGTTGTTGCTCCTATAACTTTTATAAATGTGTTGTATTTCTATCAATAGCTGTTGGGTCCATTCTATCAAAGGCTGTCGATAAATCTACGTAGGATTAAATTGGTAGATACAATTTGAAGAAACAGGACAGCAAATTAATCCAAATTGGTCTAATATATCCAAAGGTATGACCGTGGAATTTTACACATTTACTCCACATTTAAGACATTTTTAATTAGTGTCTCTTGTCAGTTAGGACCTAAATATGGATATGGAATAGGAAGTACTTATCCAGTTACCGTTAAATGTAAAAAAAGCAAAAATTTGAGTGCTTAAATAACTTTCAAAATGAAGAAATCAGTTTTGTCAGAGAATTAAGTTTATCGGCATAGATATTCATATTAATAAAATAAAAGATCAATGAACTGAGACCTAAAACGTACCAATCAATGGAGAAGAAGAAGAAAGATTTTCTAATATGTTGATGTAATGCGAAGCAAAGTGTGGCATTGGGAAAAATGAGCAGACGACGGTGGCAGATAGCAAGTCAACGGAGGTGTTAAAACTCACCCGGGTGCAGACAGTCCAAACTGATCAGTCTTAGCCGACTAGACATCCGAATAGTTGTTGAAACTATAACAGAACACGTAGCCCTGAACCAACAATTATTCGACATTAAGGTGACGAATGTAGAAACGGCCACCCATGTAGTGGCCACACAACGGGCAAGTATCATACCCGATGCAAAATCGCTCCCAGTCTGCGCTTCTGGAAGAAGCTTGGTTGGCTCACCTAGCCGACCGGTTCTCGACGCATAAAGAACCATTCTTGAGTCTAAATGCGGTAATCGGACCGCCACAACTAAAACCAATAGTAAGTCACCGCCCATGGACATTCGCAGCTCAAAGACTTACAAGTGTATTGCCGCATTTAAACCTCCTCTCAACGAGAATCTAAAGCTGGAGAGGCTTGAGCTTCAATAACATCACATTTTACCACTTAAGGTAAAAATCAACGAAATAATTTCTTATTTTTATTAATTCTTTCAAAGACACCTGTGTTCAGCTGTATAAGCGTAATTGCTGTGTTGAACATAACAGTAATGGTATTTAAAATGATCAAACAAAATGTACTTTCATACACCGTCATTGTAGTATTGTAACTTAGTGATGATTTTGTTTACAATACAGAATACTACAAATATTTCCACGATAAACGTGACCTGACCTGACTAGCTATTACTACAGATTATCGGTGAAGATTACTTGTTAGCAGAATACCAGCGCTACTTCCACAAAGTTGTATTACACTGAGCTAGCGGCCTTTTTTAGGGTTTCGTACCTCAAAAGGTAAAAAAGGAACCCTTATAAGATAACTTTCTTGTCCGTCTGTCGGTCTGTCCGTGTGTCACCACCGAATTTCTCAGGAACGGGTAGACCTAACAAGTTGCAATTATACCAGATACTGAGGTCTATGGTCCCTATTAGGTGTTAGGTGTAGTTGAAAATTAAGATAAATTTTGGTACTTACAAATTTTCGCGAAAATCTACGTAAAATCTGGGTAGGTACGGAACCATCGTCGCACGAGTTCGACTCGTACCTGACCAGTTTTTTTATCATACAGCAGTGTTTTTACTTGTTTGTGTATTATTGCATTGCTTTCTAAATGCGGTAACCGGAGCCCACAACGAATACCAATATTGCATTGGCTAAAAAAAAATGGTTTGGTTAAAGATATCTTAGCCGCTAAACATCCTAACTAGCAATGGTATCGATGGCAAAACTTATTACACAGCTTATTAAAATATTTATATTGATTTGTATCGTTTAACAGCTGTCACTGATGCATATTTTTTTTTTAATTTCTTTCACTTTTCTTTGGTCGCGGTAAGGTTAAACAAATCAATTGAAAATGCACCTAGTTCCTATTTATTTAATCCATAAAATATATAACTTATGGCACGATAATGTGCACTTACCTTTATATATATATATATATATATGTAATCCATATACATATATGTAAATCCATATATATATATGTGTAAATCCATTCATCCGTGTGGTGTCGGATTTAGAATACGGAGTGTCACCACCTCTATTCATCCCGTGAATGTCGTAAGAGCCGAATAAGGGAGCAATCCACGCAGGACAACAGCACTGCAAATAGAAGGAATACTTAACATAAACCCTATACCTACCCGTCTGGCCGTCTTCTTTCTAAGGACAGGCAAATATTTATTATTATTCTTATTATTATTAATCAATGCAACCATGATCGTGGAAGGTGTATCTATAATCATTACGTAGTGGTACATTGTAAACCAAGTTTTTTGCAAGTTGCAGGTTTGCCTGTAAATTTTTGGAAAGGTTTAACTAAAGTGATTGGTTTCTTCAGATTTAAGGTTGTGTTTTAAAGTCTTGAGGTTTCTGGGTAAAGATAACCTTGGGCGAGCCATTCTTCAGCACAAGTGGAGCAGCTCGACCGGGGTGATACCACAGAGTCACAGAAAACCGGTGTTCAGCAATTCTTAATTCCTAAGCAATTCACCTGGTTTGTTATCGGAGATCAAATCCCGTTTCTTCCCAATTTGTGGCGATACTTAAGAGGCAAAATGCCTTTTTATCTCTTGAGTTATAAGTGTCCATCGTCGGCGTTAGTCACTTACCGTTAGGGAACATATCTGTATGTGTAGCCCTTATTTCATAAAAAAAAAGTTAGAAGACTAGCACTCCTTTGTTTTGTGTAATGTCAACACTGGTGCTGTAGTAATTTATTAAATATACAAAGTTATACACATAAGTTTTCCACGTGCTTTGTTTATTTATTTATTTAAACTTTATGAACAAACGTCACAAAGGCGGACTTAATGCCGTAGGGTATTTTCTCCCAGTCAACCTTAGGGCGATATAGAGATAAAACATGGTAGATACACAGAAATTTAAAATGTGATTTTATGAAAAATATAGCATAGCAGAGTAATTATATTAATTAACTTACCCAGAGTACTTTAGTACGTACCCAGAGTACTTTGTTTCATATCAAATCAAACTGTTGTATCGTATTTTGTAATATAAACCCTAAACCCTGAACTTCAGTTTCTGTTGTATTAAATGTAACTTCTTAAATTACCTTCTCATATAATAATGTAGTTGATAATATATTTGTCACGTTGTTAATTTCATTTATAAAACTCAGGTTAGGTGGGACTTTGACTAACCTCCGACATCAATTAAAACCTCACTGTAGAAAAGAAAGGGCAGATAATTTTGATTATGTATTCGATAGCTTTACTTCTTTCAAATCGAGACACATCACAAACACAAAACCCGGGAAAAAAACAAATTTTGTATGTTTTAAATTGATAATTTAAGCGAACACGCATAAATACACCACGAACCACCTCACTTACAGAAACTACCACACAGAAAACTGCTCACAGAAAACCAAGGTGTTAAGCAATTCTTTTGTTGCCTTTCACTGAGTGAGTGAGGTTAAAGGAGCCCAAATCCCCTCTCCCGCTGACTCGAGCGGGAGGGACTCCAAGGGCAGCAACGCACCTGTGACTTTTGAGTTGCAGGTGTCCATTTGCGGCGGTAGTTGCTTACCATCAGGTGACCTGTCTGCTCGTTTGCCCCCTTATACCATAAAAAAAAAACAAATATTAATAAGCTACCGTTATATTACCACCACCTAAACACCGTTTCTCGAAAGAATATTAAATAATTTCACATGACGCATACTGAACATGTTCAGTAAGACGAACTATGCTACTTGTTCTAATACATACTTGTTCTTAAATGTTTTTACATATAAGCTGATTAAGAGATTATAAGGCATAAAAAATATTGAAATCTAAGAAATAAATAAAACACTAGACCATATCCAAAGGCTATCATCCGTATTTCAAAGAGTTCAATCCACGAAACCCGCAGGCATTTTATGCAATCTTCTATTCCTAAGTTCTTTGATAAAACAAATGCGAGAGAAAAATTAACCAGCCTTTGTGTTGTTCCGGAATGTCTTGACCTTATTCTCAAGAAAAGTGTAATAGTATTTAATGGCATTAAAAGAAATTAAATGTGTAGTTAATTAAATTCAAATCTTGCACTACGTTTTTAACTTAATTACATTTTCTTCTGGAGTTAAACTTAACAGTCACAATTATATTTTTAATTTTTTATTATATTTGGGGAGCTTACGGCTAAATTTACAAAATACATATTATGTTAATTATCTAGATGCCATTTACAAGCTTCCACATGTAGAAAGTAGACAGTGCTGGTATCCTTAATAGTACATACTATCTACTAGAAACCCCTATCAAAACACACTAATTTTCTCATTTTTGATTCCCAGAAGAGTCCCAGTGAGAGAGATAACTGGAAATGGGAAAAACATAGTTGTATTCCTTATCTTACGAAATTAACTTTTACATTCTTTCATATTCTATACGAAACATTTATATTCTTATTCTTTTTAATTTTAGTTTAGTGTTTATATGTAGTAATCATTAAATTTTTACTAATACTGCTATTTTTACTGTTTCTTTTTTTAAGCAAAATTTCTAAAAACTGTTCCATGAGATCCATGTTCTATCTCACTGTACTGATATTTTTTTTAATGTTATGTACACCGTAATTGTTGTATCTACAAGAATACTTACTGACAACTGAATTTTGTTATATATACAATGTGGTTGTTCTTATTATAATAAATAAATAAATGAATAAACTTATTTTCTATCTTTTTTTCTTTCTAATACTTTTGAAAAACCCTCAAAATGTACCTATAACGAAACTATTAGTAAATTGCTGTCCGTCTGTCTGCAGGCTTAAGGCGGCCGGTCCAGCCTGATATGTCACATACAATATCAGAAGTTTGGTTAATTTGCCGTATGCCGAAGTCCCAATTTTTCCCAGTCCAAAAATTTTGTGTTTTTGGAAGCATTGTAGAAAACTTTTTGTTCCAGGGACTTACAACGGTAGCCTAACTCCAGCCTGCATTAGGCACTACTACCGCATGTTCATCAGCCGGATAGTTCCACCAAGAAATTACTACTACTACCACGAGACATTGTCTCCTGACCAGCTTGACAATAGTGACACTGCAAATGCCAATGAACCAGTAGATGTGAGTGAGACTGCGTTTTTGTAGCGCATCATTGTGTGTGGTCATGACTACTCGATGACTTTCTGATCTTCACTGCACTGTAGTGATGGAATGAAAGCACAATCACATGTGATAACTATATATGATTTATAAATCATATCACTAAACCAATTACAAAACCACTGTGACTTAATTATTATTATTACGCTAGCGCAAGACTCGCGAAAGGTGTAAATCTTAAAAAAACAAAGGCCGTAATCTTAGATCAAAATAATTTTGATTGATTTTAATGCAATTTATCTTGTCTAAGACGAAATCACACTCACATGTGAAATCGCTGTGACTAAAACCAATCTTTTCATCAAATTAATATGATTTCAAAGTAGCAATAATTTCCATGTCTACTGTACTGGCACTTTCGCGAAGATATCATTGATTCATAAAACGCTTTAATTTTAATTTCCTGAAAATTATTATTGAGACATTAAAAATTAACAGTGAAGCCACTTTCCTTTTTAGGTCCAATTCAGAATAGTGGGAGGAAACCAGGTGTCTATCAAAGAAGTTCCCTATCAGGTGTTGTACGGTTTATATTGCGGAGGTACTATTATAGCTCCTGAATGGGTTATAACTGCAGCACATTGTAAGTAAGTACATTTCTTAAATATTTATTGTGCAGATAAAAGAAGATAGTTATTTCTGGTGTGTAATGCTTCCAAGCGTATTTCGTTATTAATTCTACTTTACCAATTGTTGGTTAAACAGAAAGAAATATGAGCATTCCTACTTATTTATTCTGCTCGTGCAAGCAGATAATGGTTTATCTTTAGTCTTTTAGTTCACGTGACTATTTTTTCTTCTTTTTTTTTTGAAATAGACAACTCCCGCATTAAGAAAAGTCCTGTGTCGCGGGGGACTTTACAAACATACATGAAACGTACACAAAGAACACCGAGACTTAGAACAACAATTTGTGGATCACACAAAGTGTCGTCCCATGCGGGGATCGGACCCACAACACTCAGCGTAGTAGTATGCGGCGTGGCGACCGCTTAAACCACTACGCCATCCGTGCACTATTCTAGTGGGGGTTTAAAAATTAAAAAAAATTCTGTGATTTTCATTAAGGTATAACCGCCGCCCATCGAAATCTGTTACTCCAGAGACACAATTAATCCATCAATTATTTATTGCTTAATTTAAATATATCATTTAACATTTAAGGTGTCACTGGATGCAAAGTAAATCATGTCCTACCGGTTTAAGCATTCAAAATTTGTGTTTCTTTAGTAATAGAATTTCGAGAAGAGGGGGCTTAAGTTAGAGAAGAGGTGAATTTGGGCCTCCGGTAATCTCACTTAAAATTGAGAATTTCTGAACATCTGTAAGATATTTCTTACTGAAGCATGGTTCTTTCATTGCTGCTAATGAAATCTGTTGTGTTAACTGGTACTTTCTTGAAAAATTGAGAATTTCTGAACATCTGTAAAATAATTCTTACTGAAGCATGGTTCTTTCATTGCTGCTAATGAATGCTGTTGTGTTAACTGGTACTTTCTTGAAAAATTGAATCATTTTTGACATCCATTTTGGTGATAATATCCAAACTATTTGAAAAAATTTGATGATTTCTTATTCGTATTGTTCTTTTCGATGTAGATAACAAATGCTTGCAGCTATTTTTGAAATAGTCTTTAAATATACATCTTAAGTGTTCTAGTAATCCTAAAGATGTAAATCCTATGTTGATATTTTCGTTAAGTTAATAACATGTGAAAGAAATTTTACCTGGGAGACGTCAAGGTCAATTAACTTCGACATAGTCGACAAGGTCACATTATTTCTTATAATATATATATTTATAACTCATAAATCACACGTATTTATTTTAATATATGTATCTAATAACACCACCAGCCGTGTTCAGCACATAATAATATATATTCTCTCTAGTATGTTATATATTCACCTTAGATACTATGTGTAATTATCGCTTTTTATAGCTATGTATATACTTACTACTTTGATTTCATCCACTATCCAATACCTACTCCCCTTCATGTTTTCTCTCCATACCACGGTTGCCTGTAAGAGATTGCCTCTGAGTGAGCGATAAGGCCGCCATTTGTACTAACCTAGTTTAAGACAATTATTGTATATTTATAACTGGTGTACAATAAAGGGATATATTATTATTATTCATCAACAGCCTTTAACAGTTCACTGCTTAACATATGCATCTCCTTAGAAAGGAGGTTTTGGCCTACAATACCACGCTGGCCAGACGGGTTAGTATAGGGTTTGTATCAAGATTTCCTTCTCTTTGCAGTGCTGTTGTCCTGCGCAGTTTTCTCCCTTAGTCGTCTCTTACGACTTCCACTTGATGAACAGGGGTGGTGACACTCCGTAATCTTAATCCGTTACCACACGATTATTAATAATCTAAATTTTATTGATCCAGGAATAAAGAACAGTACGTCTTAGCAGGCTCCACTCAAAGAAGTCAGACCACTAAGTATCAAATTTGTGCACACTTCATTCACCCGTTGTGGAACACGACGAAGCTTCATAGTCACGACTTTGATTACCAACTGATACTGTTAGAAACCCCCATACCAGTGACACCTAACTCTAGGCCCATTGCTATTGGGAATCTTCAGGATATACATGAAGGGGCCGTGGTGGCTGTAAGCGGATGGGGTCACACAAAATATAAGGTAATGTTAAAATAAAAGTATCAAAATATGGTCAGGAGTCTGCCTCGATACCCGATGTCAGGCATGCGCTTGAAGAGTTAGTCGTACTCCCTCTCTTCTTAATAATAAATAATAATAATATATCTCACACACTCACACACGGCCGTCTGATCCCAAACTAGGCAGAGCCTGTACTATGGTAACCAGACCGCTGATAAACATACTTATATATTTCTAAATACATACATATTATAGATAAATTATACCCAGACACAGAACAAATGACCGTGCTCATCACACAATATTTGTCCTGGGTGGGAATCGAACCCACGACCTCCGGTTTAGCAGTCAGGGTCACTAACCACTTGACCAACAGGCCCGTCGTCGTTCTTGCATGTAATGTTTAAGTTCCTCTACAGTAAGATAAATATAAATGAAAGAGATTGTTCATAACTGATCCAGACTTCTGTAAACACTCATAGGTCACAACTCGCTTACAATCAGTAGTGGTGTTTTCATCCACTATATTGGTACTATGAAACTGGCAGAGAAAATAATAATATGTTTCTATTTATTTTCAACATTCTTAAATAAAATATGAGAATTTCAAGTCTGGTTGAGTACCAAAGAAAAGTTTTCTTTGCATTTTCCGAGAATGTTTGAAAGGCGTACTTAACTGAGCTGTTCTAAAACTGCCCGAGAAATAATGATTGGATCTGATCACATATAATTCAAATCCAATCGATTAGATATGATAAGATCCAGTTTTGGCAGGATCTAACTATATGTGATCTTTCTTCTTTATCCTCGCCCTATCCCATTTTAATTGGGGTCGGCTCTCCTAATCAATCTTCGCCAGGACGTTCTGTCCTGGGTCGTCTGCGGATCTATTTGGGCCGTTTGCAGATCTTTTTTTATGACTGATTGCCATGTTAAACGGGGTCTTCCTCGTCCTCTTGGTCCGGTTTTAATTTCAAGAACTCTCTTGGTCATGTGATCTTCTGGCCGCCTCATGACATGTCCGTACCACCTCAGTCTACTCTCCAGCAGCTTTTCTGGGATTGGCCTGACTCTAAAAGTGCCGCGGATGTGCTCATTCCTCACTTTGTCCAAGCGCGTGACGCCACCAGACCATCTGAGCATTTTCATCTCGGCGACATGCATCTGGTGTTCTTGCTGCTTCTTGAGCGGCCAGCATTCCGAGCCGTACATTAGGGCTGGTCTTACGGCAGTTTTGTAGATTTTACCTTTGACTGGTACAGGCATTCTAGAGTCACACAGCACACCCGTCAGCTCCCTCCACTTCATCCAGCCAGTGTTGACGCGGTTGGAGACGTCGAGCTCTATGGTGCCGTTGCTCGACAGGATAGAGCCAAGGTATTTGAAGAATTCTACCCTATTGAGTGGGGTGTTCTGGAGGTGTATGGTGCCATGTGTTGAGTTGGAGAAGTTACAGTGCATATACTCAGTCTTCTGTCTGCTGACTCTCAGGCCAGCATTTTCCAAAGCACTGCGCCATTGTTCTAGCGTGATCTGTAACTCCTCCACATCTTCACTAATGAGGGCTATGTCATCCGCGTACAAGATGTTCCAAGGGGGCTTTTTCTGCAGGTCAGCTGTGATATGGTTCATCACTAAGTTGAAAAGTAGTGGGCTAAGAGCTGACCCTTGATGCACGCCGACTTCCACGTCGAATTGGTCACTAAGACCAGCGGGGCTGCGCACCTTAGTTTTCACCTCCCTGTACATGTCCGTCACCAGTTGGACGAGCCATTCTGGCACGTTTTGAGCTCGCAGAGACTGCCAGATGAGATCTCTGGGGACGCGGTCGAAGGCCTTTTCTAGATCTATGAAGACCATATGTAGATCTTGCTGACTCTCCCTTCTCTTCTCCATCAGAACTCGTATTGAGTGGATGGCGTCGATGGTAGACTTACCAGTGACAAAGCCACACTGATTCTCAGTCACACTGGTGATTAAATGAAGCCGTTTGCTAATTACTCTTTCCCAGATTTTAAGGGTGTGGGATATTAATTTGATGGCTCTATAGTTTTCGCATAGTCTTATATCACCCTTATTTTTATAAAATGGCACTAAAAAGCTGTCGCGCCATTCATCTGGTATCCCATCTTTGAGAATCCGGTTGAAGAGGTGGGTGAGAAAGGATTCTCCGTGAGTTCCCAATTTTTTCCAGAGCTCGGTAGGTATGTCATCGGGCCCAGTGGCCTTGTTATTTGCCATGGCTTTGATGGACGCTCTGACTTCGTCTGGAGTGACAGCGAAAATTGGGCCTTCGGTGGGTGGTGTTTTGATGAGTTCTTCGCTCGGGTAGGCTTCATTTAGTAAGTGAGAGTAATACTCTTCCCATCTCTTGCAAATATCTGCGTTGCTTGTAAGTAGCACACCCTGCTCATTCTTGATGTACTTAACTGTTTTGGTATCTCTCGTGTTATTATGGCGTTGCTTTGCTATCTTGAAGAGTTCCCTGCCGTCCTTTGTATTATGTAGCCTCGCGTAGAAGTCTTCTGCGGATATAGCTTTCGCTTGCGCCACAGCTCTCTTGGCTTCATTCTTAGCAGATCTGTATGCTTCGCGATCTGCGTCTTCTTTGCTATTTTGCCAAGTCTTGAAAAGGGTTTTCTTCAGTTCTAGCTTTTGTTTGACATCATCTGTCCACCAGTTGGTATTCTTGTTACCACAGACTGCTCCTTTTGATACTCCCAAATGCTTTGACGCTAATTGGATACAGTTGGTTCGAAAGCGAGTCCAGATTGTATCGGCAGTGCCTTGTGGTTGGTTTTCCTCTAGGTGCGCCACGAGGTCTGAGCAGAGTTTCTGCCCTTCTTCTCTTGCTAGTTTATGCCAGTTTATTTTTGGTGCCCTTTTGTCTTTTCTCACTTTTATTGGTCTTGGCATGATATAGTCTGCGACTAAGAGTCGGTGCTGTGATGTGAGAGGCTCCCCTGGTATCACTTTGCAGTCTCGAAAGGTTTTAAGAAGCGGTCGGTCCGCCATTATATAGTCGATTTGGGTGCTTTTGCCTCCGCTTTTATATGTGATGAGATGTTCGTGCGGCTTTGAGAAGAAGGAGTTAATAATAGCAAGGTCATATGTTGCGGCGAACTGCAGAATATCTTTGCCTTGAGGGTTGGTTGTGCCGTATCCGTATCCTCCGTGCACTCTCGCGTTGACAGGTGATTTTTGTCCTATATGCCCATTAAAGTCTCCCAGGATGTATTTGGTTTCAGTAGTGGGTATTGACTGCATTAGGTCGTCCAGGTCGTTCCAAAAGATCTCTTTTTCAGATGTTGAGCACCCAGATTGTGGTGCATACGCTGATACAACATTCATGCATGGCTGGTTATCGAGGGCAAATTTGATTGCCATAAGCCTGTCGCTTACGCGGTTGACTTCCACTACGCGCTCCTGCAGGTCTTGGTCGATCACGATGCCCACTCCGTTTTGGTTTGTTGTTTGCACCGTTGTAGAGTAGCTTGAAGCCGTCTCCAATATCACGAGACTTTGACCCCTTCCATTTTGTCTCTTGTATACAGCAAATGTTTACACGTCTTCTTAGAAGGACTTCGCTTAGTTCTGAGCTGCGTCCGGTCATTGAGCCCACGTTCCAGTTTGCAATGCGCAGTTTCTGGTTAGGATGGTGTGCTGCAACGACCTTTGCGTCGCTTCGGGGGAACGCCCTAGCATTTGCTGCATTCGTGATCACGTTGTCGTCGCCTGAGGGGAACGCCCTAGCCCTTATATTCACTCTTGTCTTTGTACTTTTCATGATTAGGAGTAGGTTATTGGCTGTAGATTTTTACGGCCGGTTGCCACCTGACGCCAAGGTACTAATCCATCTTAGGACTGTGAGCGCTGGTATAAAACCATATACCACCATCTCTTTTGCACCACCGTACCTGACAGTGCAACTCCAGTAGCGACCCATTAGACCTAATATGTAGGTGTAGCCCGCTCTTGGGTTTTGTGCCTCTTCCGCCTGATCCGCCGTTCCGATGGACTCCATCTCCGCCTTCACAACCGTTGAGGACTTCACCCGTAACCCTGGGCACGGGTTCCACGTTATACCCCGTGGGGCTGGGTCCCTGACTGAACTCGGCCACCAGCATTGTTCCGGCCTACTGGAACAAGCGGTGCCCACCCCCGCGACATGGACGCGCCAGCCAGGAATTACCCCAGTGGATAATAGAGAGGGTGACTCCATATTCCCTGGGGCCGGGTTAATGGTCTAGTATGTGTACCTAAACCAACGGCAACTAACTATATGTGATAAGATATAAATATATTGATATATATATATATATATATATATATATATATATATATATATATATATATATATATATATATATATATATATATATAATATTTTAAGATGGTTGTCTAGCGGTTATCAGCGCATGGGAAACGTGCACGTAGGTAAAGAAACCCCGGTGTGTTCTGCACTAACATTTTATTCATTAAAGAATACCTAGCTACTTACAACTCACTTGAAACACAACACCTTCATTCTCAGTTAGATAGTCTTAATGAGAAGTTAGTATCTATGACCAACAAATATGAGAGTTCCGAAAAGCAAATGAGGGAGTACATGCTGGCAATGAATGAGCTGGTGAATTCTGATTCCTGTAACTGTAACCAAGCTCAATTGTTGATAGAAAATGACTCATTTAGTAGTCGGCACTCCCCGGTTCACTCTGACCTGGCTTGTGGCACCCCCATGTTGTTAGCAAATAATAATAAGACATCCCTTATAACAAAGAACAACTCAGAAGCTAAAAGAAATAAAATTGTAATATTCAGTGATGAGATTGGGAAGGGTATAGGTCAGTTGCTGGGAAATATGTGCAGTGATTTATTAATAACTAATTTCTGTATGCCTGGTTTAGATTATTGTCAAATATTAACAAAAATTTCCAGTCTTAAGTTCAGCCAAGATACAATTTTGATAGTTTTAATTGGAAATAGGGGCAATTTAGATAGGCAGAGTTTGCTGCATTATTATAATAAACTATGTGCATTTAATTTGAAACAGACAATCATATTTACACTGCCATATAGTAAAGGCTTGCCAGAGGAAGAAAATAACCTTAGGTATAAGTTAAATATGCAGTTACACAACATGTCAAATTACAATATGAAGTTTCATATAATTGACACTAACAATTATGTTAGACAATATTTATATATGACGAAAGATAGGTGTTATCTTTCATTGTTTTGTAAACGACAGTTAGCAATATCGCTATCTTATTTTATTGATATAACAGCCAAAAACTTGGCTATTAACCAGTTGCACAGGCAACTTATATTGATCCAGCCAAAGGTTTGGCTATGAATTCACATATTTTAAACTAGATGTAGGGACAAAGGAGGTAACCTCTAGCTTAAATTTACCATACAGAATGGTATCAAAGAAATGTACAACCAACACTTTCACTGTAGTGCATCAAAATATTCAAGGAATGTCTAGTAAGCACCTAGAAATTGAATTGTTCATGAGCTGTGACAAAATTGATATTCTTTGTATTACAGAACATTGGCTAAAAAGTCACCAGCTCATGTTCAACTTCAGTAATCATATATTAGGTAGTTCGTTCAGTAGGGAGCGTGCTGTACATGGCGGTTCATTAATTTTTATTAGAAAGGATTTAACTTATAGGAACCGTACTGATATTTTAGGCTTCTCTGCTGAGCAGACAATAGAAATAGCATGTGTGGAGTTAGAGCAACTTATTGTATTGAGTGTATACAGGCCTCCATTCTCATTTATTTACTGACATAGTGCCACACACCAAAGGAGTAATAAACAAACTAAATTCTGATCACTGTGGACAGATGTGTGCTTTTGCTATGAAAAACAGAATGGTGGTAACACGAGATATTACTGTAGTACCTAAAACTGTAACTCGTATGGAAAATTTCAAAAATAAACTCCTTAGTAAACTACCCCACTTGGGTTATAGTGATGATCCTAATCAATTATATAACGCTTTTTTTAACATGTATTGTTCAGAATTTAAATCAACTTTCACTCCTAAGAAGTTGTCAGTTAAAAGTGCTACAACCTTCAGTGAATGGGCCACCATAGGTATATACAAAAGTAGAACAAGGCTTTATGAGCTTTATGAAGAAAGAAATTATAATACTAGTATGGAATTTCGAGAATATGTCAAACAATATTCTAATTTATTTAAAAAAGTTTGTTATTCTGCAAAAGTTAACTATTTGAGGTCTAAAATTAGTAATAGTTCAAATAAAATTAGAATGACCTGGGAAATAATTAATACAGAAACTGGTAAAGCAAAGAAAAAATGTAATAATTACAGCCTTACTATTGATAATAAAGTAATTAATTCCGATATAGATGTCGCCACAGCTTTTGAAAAATTTTTCACAGACATTCCAGTCTCAATAACAGAATCATTGAATTCATCCCCCACTATTGCAGAATCTTTATTGCAAGAGAATATTAACATTTGTAATACTGAGTTTAGATTTAGTTGTATCACTGAGATATAATAAAAACGTTCAATGCTCTTAGTGTTAAGAAAACCGCCGACCTTTGGGGTAATTCTGTACAAATAACTAAATCAATTATTAGCGTAGTTGCATCAGAGTTGGCCTTAATTTTCAATAGGTGCATTGAATGTGGTGTATTTCCTGATTTGATGAAACATAGTAAGATCATTCCCTTATTCAAGGCGGGTAGCACGTCTGATCCTACAAATTATAGACCAATTTCAGTGTTGCCTACTTTCAGTAAAATTTTTGAGAAGATTATACTGGATCAGCTACAAACTCACTTTAGTGCAAGCAAAATTCTACACAGGAAACAGTTTGGATTTAGAAGAGGTCGCTCGACAAGTGATGCCGGTGTTGAACTTTTGGAAAATATATTTAGTGCCTGGGAGGATAAACAGGATGCCCTGGGTGTTTTTTGTGATTTATCTAAAGCATTCGACTGCGTTTTTCATGAAACATTAATCAGGAAATTGCATTACTATGGAATTAGGAACACTGCTTTGGATCTTCTTATCTCTTATTTGGGTAATAGGATCCAGAGAGTGGAAGTTAATGGACAGAGATCCCTGGGGTCTCTGGTCACTATGGGGGTTCCGCAGGGCTCAATTCTCGGCCCATTTTTATTTCTTGTTTACATAAATGACCTACCTAATGTGATAAATGACAATCAGGAGATAGTGCTATTTGCGGATGACACTTCACTGTTATTTAAACTTAAACGACAGCAATCAGTAACTGATGACGTGAATAGCACTCTCTCTAAGGTTGTGAACTGGTTTAATGTTAATAATTTACTTTTAAACGAGAATAAAACGAAATGTATTAGATTTTTTACACCTAATGTTAAGCAGGTAAAGACCAATGTTCTAATAAATGGAAAGGAGTTGGATCTTGTGGACACCACCAAGTTTTTAGGTATAACACTAGACTCTAAATTGCAATGGGGCCCACACATTGACGGATTGTCGAATAGACTCAGCTCTGCAGCATACGCGGTTTACAAAATTCGTCAATTAACCGATGTAGAAACAGCTAGACTGGTGTATTTTAGCTATTTTCATAGTGTAATGTCATACGGTATTTTGTTGTGGGGATGCTGCTGACATTCAAAGTATCTTTGTGTTGCAAAAGAGAGCTATTCGTGCAATTTATAATCTCAGTTATAGGCAGTCACTGAGGGATAAGTTTAAAGAAATTGGTATCATGACAGTCGCATCTCAATTTATATATGAAAATTTAGTGTATGTAAAGAAAAATAATCATTTATTCACAAAGTTTAGCGACATGCATAAAATAAACACTAGAAATAAAGATAAACTCGTGTTACCAACCACTAGGCTACAAAAAGTAAGCAAGTCTTTTCGTTGTCAGGGTGTGCGATTTTACAATAAAGTGCCAAGCAAATTCCATGAATTAAGTATTAATAAATTTAAGTCTTTAGTAAAGCTAAAACTATGTGAAAAGGCTTACAGATTATTTAGACGACAAATTTGCTTGGGATTGATGCTGCTCACTCCCACATTTACGTAGACATCTTTGTTGTTAAGTTTGAAAGTATTTAATTTTTTTTTTTTTGGTGTATTTCGTATTTTGTTTTCGTATTTTATTTTTCGTTGACTTTGAACTGTATAGTATTTTTTTTTATTTTTTGTGTAAGTATGTAAATGTGAGTACTGTGTAGGCTTGTAATGTTAATTTATATTTTATTATCTTTCTGGTGGTTTTGAGTGTTTCCACGGCCTACCCAAATGTCCTGCTGGCGGTAGTGTCATGCTTCGGGTCGTTGATCTTGACCAATATCGGTTAGGCTACACGACAGGTTGACTCAAAACTATGGTCCTTTCCTCAAAAGGCCTATCCAGACCCTATACTGTACTCGCACAGTTTTATTTAACTTTGTTTACGGACTTAAAAAAAAAAGACACCTCTGTGGTTTGTTTCGGCGTTTCTTCCCAGAGTGAGTCTTAGGAAATGCAGGCTCCTTCTAGCTATAAAGTCCGACTTGTAAAAATATCTGAAAAGATTTACTTACATAAATAAATATCATTTCATCATTTCATTTCATTTCTTATAAGTATACACTTGTTACTGTTATCCTGAGTCCCACAAATTGGAAGCTTATCAGAAGCAGCAACCTAACTATAAATCAGTCCAAATGAACGTAAGACATAGGAAGGTGAACACCTATCACTAGATTCCTTACAAAAACATGGTTATTCACTTGCGGAGACTCTCAACACCGCGATGTAGAAAGGACCCGTACAACGCCATCTGACGGTGCCGATGACAACTATGTATTCTAATACCTTTCAACGAGCAATTCTTGTATATATGTGTATGTATATATATATTTATTTATATTAATCTGAAAAATTTAGTATGCAGGGGGTTTCGGGGGCGACTAAACGATATAGCTAGGTTTCATTTTTCGAAAATTTACCAAAAAAAAAATACCGAACTAAGCTTGGTCATCCAGGTACTAAATATATAAGATATAATTATGCAGAATTATATAAAATCATATATAAAGATATCAGATCAAGCCTCATACATTTTCATGGATTGAATATGCAGATATATAAAAAAGTTATATGGTCCAATTATATCTAAGTATATCCACCGTTTTATTTTGACTGAAAAGATTTAATATAATCATATATGTATATCTGTGGATATAATTATATAAACTCATATACAGGTTTATATATTATTTTACACATTTAGATATGATCATATGATCTAATTTATCATCATCATCATCAACAGCCTTTAATAGTCCACTGCTGGACATAGGCGTCTCCTTAAACAGGAGGTATTTGCTTACTAATTATGGCCACTAATTTATAATCATTTCCAATCATTTTTTCTCGGGCATGTTTATTTCACCACCACTACTTTGTGTATATAGCATGTACACTTACCTTTTTCTCATATGTGTGAACTAATATTTGTAGTTAGAAATGCATTCCACAAATAGTGGACCAGTATTTTGAAAGCTGTTAGTACTCAGTTTTTAGAATGTGGACAATAATACTGATGTTAAAAAAAATACCGTCTTTTGTCTCTTTATTGTTTAGGATACAGCTCTGGATTCATCAATCTGAACTCAATTTTCTGTTTACAGCAACGAGGTATGGAAGACATTGTTCGTCGAGTTAAGATCCCCATCATGTCTCATGACCAATGCAGGTCAATGCCTTTAGAAAATTACAAGACTGTCACAGATAGGATGTTCTGTGCCGGTCTAATTAACGGGACCAAAGACTCTTGTCAGGTAAAAAAACCTAGCATGTAATGTTTAGCCTGGCTAGCCGACTGGTCTCACGACACGGCACGCGGGGGCCGAATACCGCTATCCGCCCGAAACTCAGCCGTCCGCCGATATATGTCGATACGGCGCGGTAACCGCGTATGGCTTTAACCGCCAATATCCTCTGAGGGCGCCAAAGGCGTGCCCTATTCTGAGTGGTCAGAGCCACCGCCAACACTGATGCACCGTACAGTGCCAATTACCGGACAACCCTTGTGTACAGCCATCTCGTTGCGAAGATGGGTCCACCTAGATTAGGAAAAATTCTCCCAAGAGCAACGCAGCGAGCTTACTGGTTAGCTAACTTAAAATCTTACATCGATGTTGATGAGACACTCATTGAAGCGACTTCACTCCTTTCTTCTGCTTATCTCCTGCTTTCTTTCTTTATCTCCTACTTATATCTACTTTTATTTCAATCTCTTCAAAACGAATACTAACGAAACACCCAGGTTGCATTCAAGGGTTAAATAACAATATGTTAAGCTTATAACACAGGCCCCTTTTACCACTTGATTCGTTTGCCAATATAAATACAGTGCCTCACCTGAGCAGAAAATACCTGATCAAAAACTGATCAGGTAAGTTTTATCGTTATTATAAACACTTCAAAGGACTTTTCTAGAATCATTACTTTCTACAGTCTATTCTAGACTAGATTCTGTCAAAGCGGACTCTAAGAATGAATTTTACAACTATAGACTAGACTTGAATAGCGTCATCGTGGCGTTTACTTTATTACCTAGCTATCAATTCAAAGAAATATTTAGGAATCAATATTAACTTACAGGGAGATTCCGGAGGTCCAGCAGTATCCAACGGCAAATTAGTCGGTCTGGTGTCATTTGGAGTGGAATGTGCAATGAAGGAACAACCCGGGGTATACAGCAACATTCCTCTGGTGAGAGGCTGGATCCGAGCTGTCACCGGGCTTCCTCTTTGAAGAACGTCAGATATAAACGTTATAATAGTACATGCTGTCTTTTTATTTGATGTGTGGTGAGCACTATCGTGTTTTGTGTCTGGGTGTAATTTATTTAGAACTAGCTGGTGAACTAGGTGGGGAATTTGAAAAGCGCTGCCTTAGTGAGTTTGATTCCCGGAACGGGCAAAATTATAAAGGGTTTTTCTGAAAGGAAAAAGAACCTAAGTTACTCCTTATATAGACAGCTACCTGGTAGTAAAATATTATTAAAATCAAACCAGCGGTTTAGAAGATTACTTGGAAAAAACACACAGACTGACAGACAAAAAAAAATTAAACTGGTTTTTAGGCATAGGTATCGTGCAAATAACCTCGTGAGCATGAAAAAAAACCTATAATTTTGCCATTACAAACAGACACTTCAATTTTATTCATTTGTATAGATATAGATATGTGTGTTTAGAAATATATAAGTATGTTTATCAACAGTCTGGTTATCATAGGATAGCTTATAAATGAAAATAGTAAATACATAACGCTATTACACATATAATATTCAGTTTTTTTTCAAGGAAACGAACGAACGTGGCGACGTTTGCCACGCTAACAACCGGTGTGGCCCTCCGTATTGGATGTTTCACATAAGAAAAGTAAACAAACCATTTAAAGTGCTGCCTTGTTTGGATAAAGATTCCCATTATTATTAGAGTGACGGGAAGCGTCTCTATGGCATTTGGGCATGGGTAAAAAAGCGCTGAGTTCCGTCATCAATCTTGTGAAAGTCGTAAGAGTTAAGTGTTACGTAGAATGCGTACAACACATTGTCGAGTCAGCATAACAAACACATATAGTTTATTTCATATATAGATGTACAAAAATGAGTGAATCAGTGTTTGTACAATAATTATACGTCTGTTCTGTATCGTCAGGTTCTTTGTGATCAGAGAGGGATTCATATTATAGTGTACTGGATGGTTGTAAACCTGTAATCACTTTAATACCTACCTTCAAATGTACTTTTTTTTCCTTCTAGCCTTTTTCCCACAGGTTGGAGTCGGCTTTTAGTTTACTACGATACGGCTATACTTCGATATACCACAACCCAAATATAAGTTGATTTTGAAGTTCTGTAGGAAGACTGGACTTTTTAGGATTCATACTACCTTGACGATTGTCTCAGGTGCCTGGTTCCCCGGCTACTGGTACCCGAGACGGCGTCCGGTTTTTGGTCGGTTCGTGTCCGAGATAACCACCCATTGATGGTGGTATCCGAAGAAATTTCCGCACAGACAAAAAAAAGGTGTACGTATCAGGAGACTGAATGTGAGGAGAATGGTGACCCAGCCATAGACTGGCTAGGATTGCTTAACTTTGCAATGTCTTAACCTATTTGGATACCACTTAGCCACAAGCCCCTCCAACTTCAAATATATTATGAAATCGAATAAAAATTGATTATAATAGCTAGGAATTCCAAATTACTATTGATAATGAGAACACAGAGACTTCCCTTCAGCATAGTTAGTTTATGAGGTTATACCACCAAATCCGAAATGAGCACTCTTTCTCGCCATATTTTTTTCCTATAATAATAATATTGAAAGAAACAAATACAAAATATTGTTTTTAGTGTTATATGTTTGTTAGATTATGTTAATGTATTTTGATAACACAGTTCCAGGATAAAATTAAGTTCTTTATAAAATAGAAATTTTTATCTACGCACAATAATTTAATCAGCTTAGAAGATGTATCTTAAAACGCATTATAATATTGTACCACATTCACACAACGCCATCTAGTCCCAAACTAAGCAGAGCTTGTATTAAGGGTACTAGACAACTGATATAAATACATGTATACTTTTTTTTGTAAATACATATATATTATACATAGAAACACCCAGACCAAATCAAACATTAAATGTTCATGCACACGGGAATCAAGCGGGTTTTCAATAGCAATCCGTTACACAAACCACTACACCATCCGGTCGTCAAAGTAATTTGGCTTGTACTAGTAGAAGCAGTGTACTGTCGCAACTTTCACTCCTTTCTCAAAACCAAGTTACTCTGGAAAATTGGGAAGCGTTGCCTTTTTAAGAAGATGACAAAAATAAAATAATAATAATATATAATATAATATTAAATGGATTAAGAAACAACAGATAGCGCCCAAATTAGAATCATCATTATTTGCCATACAAGACCAAGCCATTATGACCCGACAGCATCAGCGCGATATACTGAAAGAATCAGTAGACGGAAAATGTCGCATATGTGCATGCAAGGATGAGACCACTCAGCATATCATATCAGGATGCGAAAAACTGGCGGGGACCTATTATGTTAAACGACATAATAACCTTGTCCAATACGTCTACTGGTGTCTGGCCAAAAAACACAAAATAGAAATATCTGACCTTTGGTGGAAAGAAACACTCATACAACCACAAGTCAAAGAAAATGAATCCACTAAAATCCTTTGGGAAATGCCCGTACAAACAGATATCACCGTAACGCACAATAGACCTGACCTTATATATATCGACAAAACCAGCAATAAAACATATTTAATAGACATTACCGTACCATCCGATTACAATATAGGCGCTAAGGAGATTGAGAAATTGAGCAAATACCACCTGTTGAAAACTGAAGTCACCCGCCTGTAGAATACACAAACGACTGTCATTCCGATAGTTGTAGGTGCAACTGGAATAGTCGCTAAAAGCATAAAGAAATACATAGATAAATTAGGAGCCAACATCGACATAACCATCCTTCAAAAACAAGCAGCCATACACACAGTGACCATACTCAGTAAAGTTTTGGGAGATACGGTATTCATACACAGCACACAGGACCAACATACACAAAACACCCAGGAATGGCAAAACATGCATCAGTCACAGGACCCACAACCACAGGGCTCGCAACAATCGCCAGACATACCGCAATCCTCAAACACTCTAGACCCACTCAACATAGCACATACACTGGACACACAACATACATTAAGCATACGACGGGTAAGAGGGAGAGAACGAGGACGAGGAAGGAGGAGGGCCGCAAATAACACGCACCACACGACAGACACACACTAGTAAGGTTCCTCTCATACAATGAAACTACACATTAAAAATTAAATTACAGTAAATAATTCTCATAATTCATATCTAACTTTATCAATTTGAAGTTATTGGGGATATAGATATCATTTTTCCCGTGTGTTACGGGACGGGGTATTTATAAAACCGACAAAAGTCGAGATGTTGAGCTCAACACTCACATATAATATTTTACTACATTCACAGAACGCCATCTAGTCCCAAACTAAGCAGAGCTTGTACTATGGGTACTAGACAACTGATATAAATACATATATACTTTTTTTTTTTGTAAATACATACATATTATACATAGAAACACCCAGACCAAATCAAACATTAAATGTTCATACACACAAATGTTTGACTTGTGCGGGAATCGAACCCACGACCTTTGGAATAGCAGTCCGTTACACAAACCACTACGCTATCCGGTCGCCTATAATGGTGAGCAAAGTGATCTTTTAAGAGTTTTTTTTATTCATTTTGAGGTACAGTACTACATACCCTAGTTATAGATGATTAAAATTTAAAATGACTGCACGGATGGCTTAGTTCTTTAAGCGGTTACCTCGCCGTTTCCTACTGTGCTTGTGGGTTCAATCCCCACATGGAACAACATTTTGTGTGATCCATACACTGTTGTTCTGAGTCTGGGTGTTCTTTGTGTCCGTTTCATGTATTTTTGTAAAATCCCCCGAGAAATAAGATATATTCCCAAGTTGTCTTAACAAAAAAAAACACAAAGGGTTTCCTGTCTTTTAGAATCCATTTCATAGCCCTCATAAGTAATCCATCCACTCAATGCTACATCTAAATAAACATTTAAAGCATAATACAACTCAATCCACTTCTAAGGACTTATTATACAATCCCTCGTTATGTATCCATCAACATTCAAACAACATTTGAAATCCACCCAACGCCAATGTGAAAACATTTACCAAACAGTGGCTAAAGCAAAGTCAATTTGGTGGCCACTCGGTTGCCAAACAACGATCACGAGTTGATTTTTCGCATTACATCACCCATTCACATATTCAGCAGCCGCGTCCGCGCGCCTCCGAGAATAGTTTTAAGGAAACATACGAGACTTTAATTTGTTTAGATACGCTCTAGTAAAAACTTCTATATAATACGATAAAACACGTGTTAATACCATCTAACGAAGACACATGGAACTACAGAGTAACTACTCATTCTGCATCGCACAATGCAAATTCTCGCATCATCAACAGCCTTTAATAGTACTCTGCTGGACATAGGCCTCTCCTTAGAAAGGAGGTTTTGGCCTACTATACCACGCTGGCCAGACGGGTTGGTATAGGGTTTGTGTCAAGTTTTCCTTCTCTCTGCAGTGCTGTTGTCCTGCGTAGTCTGCTCCCTTAGTCGCCTCTTACGACACCCACGCGATGAATAGGGGTGGTAACAGTCTGTATTCTTAACAACCAACATTAACCGCTTAGCCGCAACCTGTGAGGTTGATACTCATCAGCGTGACGCGCCGTGGAGTCTGGTTGGAGGATCCTTCCTTTTTGAGTTGGATCGATATAACGCCCGCTCCTCCTCAGACTTATTTGTAGATATAATATAGGATTCCAGAAAATTAACAAATAGAGTAGAAAAAGCAGGATAATAACAAAAAAATATGAAATTAAGCTTTTGCTTTATACCTTAGGCATAATTTTCAAGTACAGTTGTACAATTTACAAAAAATAATGAACTCACTTCAAATATTTTTAAACTAGGTTTTCGTAAATGTTTGTTTTTTTTTTAAGCTTACCATTATGTTTTTCCTTGGAATCACCACAGTGTTTAACATTTAAGAAGATTATGCTGTTTCGCCTACTCTCTTTGCAACCCTTTTAAATTGGTTACTGTAAGAAGGTAAATTAAACTAAGAAATTAT